ATATATATATATATATATATATATACGACGACATGTTGTTAAATTGAGCTTAGATAACAATACTGATGATTGGTTAATTATTTTACTTCCCGGTCACGTGGTGTGAATGAGAAATTGACTTCGAGATCTTACTACTCTTCACTTTTTTGCCCAATTTCCCTTCAATTCTAACGATAAGAATTGATGTATTTGAAGTTTTAATAATGGTTCGGTCTGATCAAAAACTGTTGACTTGTCACCTAAATGACGTCTTCTTATTCTCTACAGCACCACATGCGTCCAAATTGGCTGTATAATCATGACTTTTTAGCCAATTTTAGTTTAGGCCTAATGAGCTTCACATGCAAGTAAAGGCTTATATCAGATGTCACCCTCAATAATCCTTTGACTGGCTTCACGCGAAATTACCTGGTGCTTTTCAATTATAATTTCTATTCTTTACGTAAAGCCGGTTAAAATCAGTCAGCATGACTGCTTTTCTACCCTCGCGAATTTCGAATCCTTTTTTATTAACGGTAGTAGAAAATGTAAAGATTGATGCTGTCCAACCCAACATCCACCCATTTCGTTTTATTTTAGCCAATAAAACAATTTTTTCATGAATTATCGCTCATTTGCGGTAGTCACTTAGTCCTGAGCATATTTAACTAAAAAAAGCTTGTAATCTATCCATATAAATCATTGATTGAGCCACCTACACAGTGGGTGTATACATTTGATTTCATTAATTTACTATTGTGTCGAAATTTATCCACTTAGTTGAATGAGTTCTATTCGCCTTTTATTTTAAAAAAAAGATATGTATTTTCCGAGTAAGGAATGCTTTCACGCCAGTTTCCTTTCTCTGATAGTAGGCTTTGCGCATAGTCCTGCAAAACTAGACAATGCACAACATGCAGTAGAATTTAATTGAATTTTATGTTGTAGTTAGGGTCATCAGTTTGTAGGACCTCGACTCTATTGTGCTGAATCATCCCTTTAAGCAACTGCAACACCAGAAGCTGAATCTAGTTATAGTGATTCAATGCCAAGTGCAATTTATCAAGACCGTTGTGTTAGTGCATGTGGATACAGAAGGGGAGAGATGGGGGGGGCCAATTAGTATTTGTTTTTAAAATGATTCTATGACCATACTAAAGATTATTAATATGTTCCGTGTTTTTTTCTGTTTCCAAGGATCATATGATGATGCTAGCCCAACGAGGCTCCTCGGCAAATAAAAACTCTGAGCAGATGCCCGCGATAATGCGTAACTCCCAAGTGTATACCCGTTCCCACACGACCGGTCCCACTTCAGTAAACAGTGGCGATCGAATGACAACCTCCTTTACCGTTGCATTCGGGAGTTCGTCGCCGCGTTCAATCTGTACGAAAGCTAATGAGGCAATTTTGCGTTCACAGGCTGCTTTCGAAGCACGCCTAGCTAGTTACCTCAATGGTAGACATAGCGGTTGCTTCCTCACTCAATCTTCAGCTTACACCAACTATGCGCTCTACGTTAAACCTGATCTCTTACCCGAAAACCATCCCATTCGCAGGCATCTCCATGAAGGTCATCACCATGTGAGCACCCCCAGGCGGGCCGCTTCTGCTAATCCAACTGTTCATACTGCCGCCATCAAGAAACCGACTCTAATTAGTGGTGGTGAGTAGATACGTAATCTCTTCCCTTGACCTTATGCTCTCCTGTAACCATTGCTTGGTGTAGTTCGTGCACTATTATTATGTATCTCCATTTGTCTTTCTAATTTTTATGCCAGATGCATGCGAATGTGAAGGGAAACGGGGTGAGAGTGTATCGGTTTATCACGCAAGCAGCATTCACCCCCTTATTACACACATACACACACACACACACAGCACCGCTATATCTACCTGTCGCGCTTTTTTTCATGTTAAAATTTTAGTTTGCTAGTGTTTGAGTGTTATAGTTGCCTTGCCTTCTAGCTTGGTTGCTTATTTGTTATTGGGCCCCCTCTCTCCTATTCGTTTTACTCCCTACCCTCTTCCCCTAGCTGTTATATGTTTTTCCTCACTTTTCGAAATTCGCTATTTATTTCTTCATTGTCGTAAAGTGGGTGAAAGGGGACTACGAGATGGAAGTGACACCCGTCAGGCACCACAGGCGAAACATCGCTCAAGGCCAACAGTTCGACTTCCACCACCTGGTAATATTGATAATACAGAGGCAGCAGCAGCAGCAACAGCTAACTTGCCACAACCAACCCGAAGGGCCGCAAGCTCTCAGCACTTTGCTGAACCTACAATCGCTTTTGCGAGTAAAGTTAAGGGTAAGCTAGCTAGCTACCTCTTCCATTCGGCGGTGTTGGCCTACTACCGATTTGTTCCGCTTCCTTAACCACCCGCCTTGATGTCAGTCCTCTATGGTTATTTACCGGACTTTAACCTCCCCCCCCTTCTCGTAATAGTTTTTACTTATGTTCATTTAACTATTAGCTAACATTAGTAAGTGACTTGAAACGCGTTGCCGTGTTTTTTTTTGAACGTGTGGAAAGCTACTTTATGCTCTACTAAGTAATATTTCGTCATAACTTATTTACAGGCGCTCTTCCTCCTGAGATTTCACGAAAAATAAGCGGGGATGTAACTCCACCAAAGCGAAGGCCTGTTCCAGGACGTTCTACTATACCTCGTAAGCTATTGCAACTTTTCCATTTATTCTTACTGAGTCATTCACTTGCTCTGTTCTTTTTCTACATCTTTGTAATGACGATCATGTCATAGGTAGTTTTGAATGTTGTGTAGGTGTTATATGTGGTCTGATGAGTGGCAAGATTCTTGCAACGATGTGCCTATAGGTAAAATTGGTGAAACAGTCATTTGGAATTTATTTGCCTGTGATTCGCTACTATTATAAAGGAAGACAGTTTATTGTTCGCTCTTTTTTTTTATCTTAAAAAGAAGGAACATTCTTCTGATGTACTAAGATTATTAGTTTCAAGTGTCTGTTAAAACTATCCTTTTTTAATTCTCTCATTGTATTTATATAAATGGTCATTAATTCGTTTTCAATTGTCCTAGACCTGACCACAAATTCTATTTGACACATAAATGGACTTATTTCTTTACGATGTTTGATGAAAGCGTTCAATCCTTGCCCTCCTTCATATATCAGATCGAATTTCTTCATACTCTTGATTTGACTGAGTTGAACTTTTTCCTGACTGCTTTTACGAGATCTAGATTAATTGTGTTGCTTCATAAAGGACACTTACTATAGCTGGATGAGATGCTCAGTTAAGCTTTCAACCGAACAATCAGTTTCTTGCCAGTACGCTGGATGTGCATTGGATCTCTGATTTCAGACTTTACAAATTTGTATACAATCAATCGATCGTTGCATACTGCCGACCTAAACATTTATACGAATTTATTTCCTCTGGTTTAAGTTGCGCGTCTTGAGGGAATACGCAATCCAGTTAACTTATCTAATCCGGTACAGTTGTATCTGGTATTTACAACGAGAGGCCAAGTCATTGGAAAAGTTTTTTTTCAAAGTTGCGTTCAATGAGAGTCCGTCTATGCATAGTTTGTATTATGTGGAAGGGTGGTTACAGTAGGAGTATGAATCCGCTATAATGGCTATTGCTGTGACACATGTGAGCGCATCTGAATAACGTAATTTTAATTTCACGATTGTAATGCCATTTTCTGTGTTGACTTAGACATCTAATTTGGCTAGTATATAAAGTAAGAAGGCATTTCTTATTTTGGGGGTGTACAGGTAGTATCATGGTGCCTCTCTGGCAAGAGGCAAGAATTTTTCTTCTTTCCTCTATTAATTTGAACGTCAATTTCACTGTCTAACGTTACGCCGTTCACTCACCTCTATCGGTCACTTAACTAATTGCTCCGTGTATCTGGCACATATCCATATCGATCACACAGTGCACCACACTTATGCTGTGAAACACCGCATCATTTATGTTCCCATATAGCTATTGAATCACACCATAATCTTTTTTTCAATTACCCACTTTCTCCAACTTGATTGGTGCTTTATCAAGGTCATACCATATCCTGCCACCTTGCTTTCCATGCTTTCTTGTATGGGTGGGCTCAAGGTCGTGTTTGTGCTTCTTGGGTTTGATGATAGGTATTTCTCACCTTCCAGTAGTACATTGCTTAGATTGTTTACTTTTAATGCTTCCAGAATGTTTAGTATTACCCTCCCTTAATTAGTTTGCTGTAAAGGGTATGGAGATTTGAGGCTTTTTTAAGTCTTTTTGGGGCGTTCGTTTTGATATAGTTTATTGCAATTCATCCGTACCATCCCCCGTGAGACTGCGGTTCAGTTCAAAAATAAGAAGTAAGATTAGTACTAGTTTGGCTTGACTCACATTCTAATATTTCAACTCTTCAATATAGTAGTTGACTTTTTTGTTAATTAGTTCGCTTTTGAATACCTGCTTATAGGTTCAACCTTTTCCAGTGCCAGCAATTATCTGACTAGTTGGTCTACTTCCTTTCTTCTTCTAAATTCTGTTAATCTGCCTTTTTCTGGAATTTTATAGACTTTATTTTACTTACCACTGCCTTGTTAGAAATAATTATAACACTCATTATTTACTTTAAATCATCAGGATAATAAATTTAGCGGTTTATTTCTTGTTTCTGGTCTATTTTAAATAAGTGAGGGTTGGGGGGGGGGGGGGGGTGTAGACTCCCCGGAGGGCAGAAGCAGAATAGTTGGTTTAACCACCGGATTTAATGCAGTTCTTCAATCCCTTGAATCGCCGGTTTTGGTCAGCCCCTCCTCGATTTCTGGAATATCTAAAACACCCCCTCTTAATCTCCATTGTACTGATTTCTTTCGGAGTATTTATTTCAAATGGCATGCGTTTTGATAGTTATCATTAGCCCTTTGACTGACTTCGGGCTTCACAGAGGGAAGGAACGTCAAAGTAACAGAAAGTCGATTGGTGGGGAACAGAAGAGTGGTTTACAGTTGTAAAAGAGACAGACACACAGAGGCAGAGAAAATTTAAAATGATTACTGTGGAAGTGGTAGAATATGGCATACAGTGGGGTGATGGTAGCTTGAAGTGAGAAGTCAACTGCCGGTTAATAGACTGCTTTTTGTCGTATGAGTATACGTTGCCCAGGGTGTACCACGTGGAGGTAAGTCTATCGCACACCCCATTTCTTTCGAAGTGGATGCTTGTTTCGTTCGTCATTTAGTCAGTTTCTAATTTTGTCCCCCTTGAAGTCCTCAAATTTAATTCGAGTGAGGAAACAAAACAAGTTTGGGGTTAATTTTATTTTTGGGTATCTAACTCCTTTATCATAGTACTTAGAAAACTTAATCACATCAGTGAATAACTTCGGCTTTCTAACACCGCGCTGATTTTTTTGCACTAATTCGCCTAAACGATCTGTCATCGTTTTGGGCCCTAGATAATGTTACTTTCTTATCGTGCTTTGATACATACTTCGTATAACCTCATAGTGCTGCATAGACTGACTCATTTAAATGCAAAAAGATAGTAAATTTTCTAATGCTTAAATGCCTAACACTTCCCTAAGCAGTATAATTCGAAATTATTTGGTTTTTTTTAATTTGTTTATGGAGCCAATATCCAAGGTGTTCCTTTTAGTTGCCACTTAATAATAGTCAAATGATTTCAATTTCTCCTTGATTTGCACCTAGTGCTTTGCGACATTTAGCAGTTTTCGTGACTATTAACTCTCGATATTTTAGCACCCCTCTACCGGACAATAATTTTTCCATAATTGATGAACGCCTTGCGTTTGTTTTAAATGGTCTCAAGGAGACATTTGCGCGTCTCATCGGAGATTAAGGGGGGCTTTGGGCTGTTTTCATCTCTCAACTAATTTCGTGGAGATATGTCGGCCCCCATTTCATTTTTTTCTTTCTATTTAGTACAAACTTTTAACGGGCCACCGTTTTCTAAAGCCGAGACAAAAGGTAATACTAGAGCAGTAGTCCATAGTTTAGTTTTCAAGTAATCTACACGCTGACTATTATTGTAGTAGTGAATCCAAATGGCCCTTATGGAACTATTTCCCGCACTTCAGGTTCATATTTAACTCACCTTATAGTGTTACCGCTTTTGTTAGTTAGCTCAAGTAATTTGGCATTCTGTTGTTTAAAATGGTAGTACTCGTTAAACTGCCTCTACACCCCAATGAAACACTTTCCAAATTGAAGGCAAACGGTAAGGTCAGCTAGTAGTTCAGCCTAACTCCCATTGCCATTGTTAATTCTCCTTCAACATGAGACTTGGAGGTACTTTAGCTGTCTATACCATTTTTTTATTCTTGCATTTACTATCGTGTAACAACTATAGTGCTATTACTCCAATTTGTCCATTGTGCGTATTTTACAGAGATTCCTACCTAATTTTCCTTATTTGGTGCAGTTTCTGTTATATCTGAAGTGGAACCACATGGGAGGTCAGCAGGTAAACGCCAAACTGAAATTGGTAAGTTTGAGTAAAAATTCTTAAGTTGAAGATGGGGGGGGGGAAGCCATGCTGATGGTAAAATCCAGTTTTTTTAGGGTGTTTAATATCTACCTAAAGGGTTCCAAAATTAATGCTTTATTCCGTTGCGGTGATTGTAGCAAATGCCTTTCCTCCACCTCCAGTGGTTATTCACAGTTTCATTAATGTTCGATGTCGCTATTTCACTTTCACTTTATCCTCATCGATTAAAAGAACGGGAAGGGGGGGGGGATGGCGTTACCTTTCTTCCCATTAAGCACCTTACATGCTCCTTTCATGTCAGAATTGCGGTAGCTAAAATTTCTTTCTCATCAGGTCAGGTGGGTGCCATCCTTCCACTCGAACTTGAAATTAACTGCTTGTTGAAGCTCAATTGCTTCTTGCGTTTCTAACACTTAACTAGTACTTGCTGGGTCCTTAAGCTCCGTTTTCTTGTCTAAATTGATTTCGAGTTAAGGATGCACACATGTATATTGCGACTTCGTCTTAATCCTCATTAATTCAGCAATAATTGTTTTATCAGGGCTATAAATCAGTTTAATTTGGATTCTCATTGTGTTTATCGCAATCTTCCGGGCGTTAATTTATCGAGTGTAGATCTTCTTTCCCGTGAACATGACTAAGCATTTAATTTATAGTTCTGCTTAGCCTGTGAATACCTGAATGCGCTAGAGTTTGTGATTCCTTAACTCCCATTTTTACATCAGTTAATGCGTTCACCTTTTCTTGACAACGTAAATGCATTAATGTTTTCCTTGCAGGCGGGCGGTGCAACAGTTATGCTGCTCCCACCACTGCGTGGACAAATCGTCAGAGGGCAAATTCTCAGGATCGGAAAACATCAGCACCTTCAGCTGCAGGAAGTGATAATCGAATGACAACCTCTGTTATTCTTCCACGTCGAAAGCCCACTATGCCAGCTTCCACGATGAAGCCAACGCGAGGTGAAGGAGATGAGGCACGGGGTCGTGCCAAATTAAAAGAACAAATGAAGCAAAGCACTACACCTGTCCAACCACCGCAGCATAAGACCCAACCTCCTCGGACTGCTCCATTGAAAGCAATTCCGGCTAAAAAGACCGCTGCCAATAAATCTTCGAATGAACCAATCAAGCCTAATACCTCAGAATGTCTTGCTCCGACCAATGTGAAATCAAAACCTATTGCACCTCGGAAAGCCAATGATTTTGGTATTTCAATCTTATTAAAGAAAAATTATCTACAAAATAAGCTCGTTCTACGGATTAGCCTCCTACTTTATGTACTTCCGACAGAGCTTTTTATAGTTGTCATTTTCAATGACCATTGGTCTAAAGGGCTGTGCTCCATTTGAAGATGAATTATCCATAGCTTCCAAAGTGTGAACTCTTGATAAGGTGGCCAGTTCCTATCATCACGCATGGTTCAAAAACACTCATAAAACTGTTAGATCGTTTTAGACAGGAATTAAGTGAATCTGGTTGGTTAACAACCTTTTTGTATCCGATGGAAACATGAGTTTGGATAGGCAATGATGTGCAGAATCTCATACTCATACTGGTTTTTGGTGACTTTGTTAAATTCAGTACTTTTACTTGCTGTTATTAGCAGTTTTAACTTCCAGATCCAATTATGGAAGCATTTGCCAACCGTCTTCTTAACTCCACTGGAATAACATTCTGGGTAATGTATTTTCATTGTCTGACTTTTCAAGCCAATTAGAGGAAATGGTACAAACTTGGGTAGAACTAAATGCCAAGGCGGAAGTATTACCCTTAATACGAGATGAATATTTTGTTAAATATTTTCCATTGGACTGAACGTTTTTTTCTTAAAGTTGGCCCATTGGCGTATGTCACTGTCTTAATTAAAGTTTTTTTGCTTATTTGCCTGGCTTTGCGTTCTTCCTCATCTCTGTCTTCAATATGGATATCGTACATTGTATATCTTCAAGCAAGAAGTTCTGAAGTCTTCCAAAAGAGCGTCATTGTCCTTCTTCCTTTTTGTGCATCGATCTCATCTTTTATGACACTCGGCAGATGTGCGCGCTATCCTTTTAATTCTGGTTCTTGTGCTGTTGAACTTTGATATTTTTTACATATTTGTAAAATGTGTGATTACGTTAACTCATTCTCTTAAGTTTTAACATCACCAGCGATGAGTATTCGCATGCGAATCCTATGGTAACAATCATGTGAATTTGTCATTGGTAAAAGTGTCATTGTTGCTGTGAGATGCATATGTTTCCTTCCGCTTTTATTGCTCTTCCAATCACGTGAGAGCAAAGTATACCACATGCCTTGCAATCTGGGTGCTTTTACATTCTCCTTATTGCATTTAAAGACTTCATTCCAATTCGTTTATTGGTACCCAAGAAGCTATTAATATTGCTTCACATCGTCCGCTGTGTTGTATTATTCCGTCTTTATTACTGTTATAGTCAGTGAATTGAGTGGCATTTTAAAGCTGCGTTTTGTTGGAATAATTGTATGCTTCATGTAACAAATCAATAATGTCTTCAATCGATTGGCTTTATTCTGAGTTAGTCGTGCTGTAAACCACATCGCTGGCTTATCCATTGTTATTAGGGCTTCATTGTTGTCATTATTTATTCGATCATTGTAAGAATGTCTTAGTTAAGTATGTTGGCAGTAAAACTAAACCCGTATTGGTGATTAGATTTGAGTTTCACCAATCCGATTGTTCCAAGTTTATTCTTCTAAGTGTGTTCTTGATAATTTTCTAAAATCTTTACTTCTAGTGCAACAGTTGAGGTAAATTTAGGTATTAAAAAGCGTGACTTACCTGATGAATTCGGAATTCAAATAGTAAAAAAGGTGTTTGCTTGCATATCCCGTGTTTTTTTACCGTCCTCTTCTTTTACTCCGCGTAGTTGGGCTAATCCGTTGTTCCTGTTGTCCAACTGCTTTTTTTCTATGTTTAAAATGAAAATTTCTTGATTTATTTTAAGTACTGGTACAACGCATAATTGAATAAATGCTTCAAATATGGCGTGTTCTCGCTTTACTTAATTAATTAATTTGCTTAATTAATTCGATTAAATATCTACTACTTTTCCTTAGGTGTACATGCCTCATATCTTATTGTGTTATCGAGTTTTGTTATTTTTAACCAAGTAAACCCTTTTTTCAATTTTCCGTTGAAGCTAAAATCCGTTAACAGGAGGTGTAATAGATGATCAGGTTGAGGGGGGATCGAAGAGCCTGACATCCTCTTATTTTCGAATTTGAGTTGTACACTGTCTGCCAGATGGGTAGCTCACGTTTCAGAGTTCATTGTTCATCGCTTTGGTTGTGGCGAACTCGTGTCCGCATAATGTTCCGTGTTTATAGTCCGATGTGGCCAATGATTGTGATGGCGAGGTGATCTCGCTTGACATTCGACAATTGGCAGAGATGAGATAACTAAAAATTAAGTGTTGGTTTTTATTGTTATCGATTTTGACCATGAAAGTAAGTCAGCAAAACTTCAACGAGTTTTTCATACGACAATTTCAGGTAAATCACTTATCACATACCGATTGTTAATATTGGACATGAAGGGAAAAATAATTAATATAGTATTTTTACAAAAATAATTGTTTCTCCCATTAGTGTATTTTTTCCTTTTTATTGAAAGTCTCTTTTCCTATTATGCGTCTAGCTGGAGTTATACGCACTTGCTATATGAAACTCCTTAATTACGCTTGTAAAATGTATTTCTGCCTTAGAAATCGTATTTCCCCAATTATGTGAGGGAGTTTAGTAATATACTCCCCAATAAACCCTTATTTTGAAAAATGTGCATCAAAAGGAAAGCGACGTCATCGCTAGTTTAACTGTGTGTGGCCTTGAGATATGGCTAGGTGCCATTGATTTCTGTTGTTCCCCAGATCCCGAGGGTAGAATATCTGTAAATTTTGCTTACAATGGGGGCAATATTTGGCTGATTGATTAAATAATAATGAGCAGTATTTGGAGATATTTCCACTGTGAGAGATGAGCATGGGAATGCGCTAATCGATATTCCAGTTGTCGTGGCATGTAGTATGTGATCATTGCTCAGTTACCCCGACAGTACTCGATTTTGTTTTCTAACAGCGGCATTATAAACAATACTAATGGGATGTTTGTGACTCGTCTAAAAAATTATGCCATTATTGTTACATATAACTACTTTGGAATACTATGGTAGTGGTGACTAAATTTTCAGCAAACTAGGCTAGATGACTGTGGATTTTTTTTATAAAGTCGGATATATTTGCACAAATCTTTATTGAACTGCGAGATTCAATTGATAGTTCACGCCTCCCGTTCAGTATAATGTGCTGAAACAAATTGGGTGTAGGTTGATCGGAGGTTTTCCACTCGAGAAGTCATTTAAATCATTCGCTGATTTCAATAACCACTTATATTTGGCTAGCTTATGTTTGGAACTTGGCATCATTGCGAAGCCACTACTTAAGCTGGCCAATCGGAGAATAGTGGGAACATCGTCATGGTATGATTAAGATTGTAATATGGGCAAAATTATTTCAACCGAAATTAAATTAACGTAGATAAATAATTTGGAGCTAAATTGAAATTGAATTAGACACCTTTTAATTTCGTATGTCTTATAAATCTGTTTAGAATCAGTACCTGAAACTCCAAAATCAGTTGCTAAGCCAAATCCAGCACATCCAACTTCAACTATAAAGCGGCCTCCGACAGCCCTCACACCGGAGCCTCAGGAGATCTATGGCGAATCTTCAACAGAACCCATATCATCTTCCCAACCGCCCAGTCTTGTCACAGAACTTCAGGAATTCTATACTCCAGCACCACCAAATGAGTCGGCTGCTAAAGAGCATCTTGCAAGACCAATTACCCCATCTCCACCTCCTCCCGATAGTCCTCCACCAGACCAATTTAATGAAGACACTGGTGAAATAATTCAACAGCGGCAGACAGAGGAAGAAGAGGAACCTGTTCAAGAGCCACCTGCAGCTTTTGCAGATCATGAAGAAGCTGTAAGTGGAAATTTAGGTTGATATGCGGTCTTAGTTAATGCCTTTCGAAATTTGCTTGCTTTGTATAAAACTTCTCGCCTTACTAACCTCAATGACTATGTCTTTTTGAATAGTAGAGCTGAACCATAGTTGCTATTAGATAGATGAGACGCTGAAATTAGTGTAGCTCAATTAGTCTACTTGAATAGGATTGGCTAATAATTCGAATTTCATATCGTGTGCAATTCTAAATATTACTTTTTTCTAAAAGGTGAGAAGATATTTGAATGGAGATAGTTGCACTGGTTCTCGACTTTTCAAGCGCTTGTATTTCCATCGACATGTATTTCACTAATTAATTAGAATTCGTCGGACAGTAATCATGTGTCTCAATTTTCATGAGTTAATAGTTTTGACGGTGGCAACGCCATTTCCATCTTCTTATTCCCGGATCGTTTGCTTGGTTGTAGCGAATTTAATTTTTACCTGAAATGAGTTGTAGTAAGCCAGTTTACTGATAACTCGTACCAAATTTACAAAATGCATAAAATATTGCATTTTGTTGAAGTTCCAGCACAATGATATTAGAGAGACCAACAAAATTTGCTGATAATTTTTTTTTCAGGCATCTTAGTCTTGTTCTCGCCCCTAGAATTTCGTTCTTATCGTTATAGTCACATTAAATTTTTTTATTAACAAACCAAAATCTAGGTTTTACTCTTTTCATTATGTAGCCTGAAGCTATAGCAGAAGAAAATAGCGAAGGAATTTTAACGGAAGGAGAGCAACATCTCGCCAATGCCCCCAATCACGGACAGTTTGAAGAAACTCCTATATCTGAATCAAAACCAGAAGAGGTGGAGGTACAACATGGCCGCCACCAAGCGATCCAGGAAGGGGATGAACGACAAATGGGTACTCACAATTTCGATAACCTGGATAGTGCTCAAACTGGAATTAATCATGAACCACCACCACATTCGAGTTATTTCTCAACTAAATCTCATGAGGTCGAGGAGAAGACTGCAAGGTTGCCTGCTGAGTTGTTGAGCAAACCTCTGGTTGCTTCTACAACAGGGTCTGGGGAAGGTGGAAGTCTAACTGAAGAGGAAGCAGCAATCTATCGGGCTAAGATGGCTGAGCAGAGGCGTCTCGCAAAAGAGCGTTTGGCGGAACAACAGCGGTAAGTATCCTATTAAATAATGTGCTATATGTTGGCAGTTCTATGCATGACATTAATTTTACATTTCTCTCCACTTGGGGGGGGGGGGGGATTGCCTAGTCATGAGGTTACGATATCCGTGTTATTTAGTAGAATCTTAGCTTAATTATTCGTATGAGTATACGTTGCCCAGGGTGCATCACGTGGAGGTAAGTCTATCGCACACCCCTTCGGTAAAATATTGCTTACCGTATTCGTTTTCATGGCCTATGGCTTAATAATTTCGATGTTTTTAAGGTCTAGGCTGGAGAGTAATGTTTAGTAGCGTATAAAATTTAATTACTATAGTAACGCAGTCTTCCTAAACGTAGTCCTAGTGTATAGGAGAAAGTGGAAAGACCAAATTGACCCCGACGAATTGACTTAAATTTCATTTTCTAGTATTCGGTATTAATTAATTATCTGTCCCTTTTGGATGTGATTATTTCTACAGCAGAATATTTTTTTACGCTTTTGATCAATCCCTCCCAATTTCTTTCCCATAACCATAAGAAGAGATTTAGCTTGCTAAGATCCGAGATATTGATAAATTAGGCTGAATATTAAGTATTCGTTCGCTAAATTCTGTATCTAAATAACTGGTCTTCATTGTAATCGTTTACTTACCTAATTGTCAGCCTTTTCCACATCTATCGATTTTTCATTGCTAAATAAAGTTATTTTAGGAATACCCTCAGACCAGGTTATCTAATTTTGATTTATTTGCCGGAAATGTGGATAGAAGGGGGGGGGGAGAGATCTTTTGTAGGTTCGCCTTAAATGAACGCTTTTTATTCGCCTCACTTTAACGTCTATCCCATCGATTTTCTTTCCTGCTCCAAAACGACAAATTTTGAGTAAACGGTTTAACACAGATATCGATTTCCTCTTTGTAGGAAGATGCCTGGTACTAGGTTCATTTCGTTCACCAGAAGCAGATAGGCGGCTTAAATAATTTCTTCTTTCCTTAGCGTTGAGAAAAAACCAAGTTTAGTAAAAGGTTCACTTCACACATTCCTTTGGGGCAGTTGTTTCAGAGAAATTACCCATTACTATCCACATCTCACCCGCTATGCAACGATCTTGCGACATTAATTTTGAAATGGGTTTTATTAGAACCTGGCTGTTCCGATATATCTACAGAATGGCTTAAAAATAATCTATGTACGTCTTCGGGAATTCAAATGGTGTACTACGTCTCAAGTTGTTATTTTGTGCTGGTTGTGACGAATAATTAAAGGTGATTATATGAATATCCTCATGAATCACCAGGCTAGACTTCGAGGATTTCCATAAAGCACTAATCAGATAGATAAAGTAGGCACACATGATAGCAGAAATATAAAGCGTACTCAAGTCTATGCGCCTTCAAGGAAGTTTATCAGGTGGTCCGATTCAGAGTCTGCAAAATTATGGGGCTAATTTGGGGGAAATCTATAAATGGAATGTATGCTATTGATGCTTATTTCCTTTCACACACCCCAAACTCCGTTTTCAAGCACACAAAGGTGACAGCAAGTTCCATTTTCTGGAGAAAGCCCTTCTCCTCCTTCTATTGTATATGTATGGGCTAATCTTGTCAATTTCATTGTCAAGTCCTCTTTAATCTAGCAGATTTTTTGTTCATTCGACGCTAGTGTTGCCATCTCATAACATGAACGATTTTTTAATTTTTCTTAGTATCCATTGGCTTTGTAATATATATTGGTGATACTTAATATGACTGCAGAGTAGGTTTTTTAAACTTAAAAAAGCTCGTCGCAGTGCATGCTTATGACTTACTTTCCTCAGCACTGTTCATAATTGGGCTAAATTAAATGATTTTATTAAGGACTGCCATTTCACTGCATCGTCTGCAATAGTGACTAGTGCATGATGGGAAAGTGTTCGGTTTTTTATCCTCTTCCAAATTTATTTTCCCCTTACCCAGCTTAAAAGTTGTTGAACTTTTATTCACCGAGAACATTCAAACACACATAGGAAGAGAAAGATTGTTCACATTTCTGTCTACAGAAGAACAAGGAAGTTAGAGGTTCAATCGGATTTGTCCTTTCTGTCATCTTCAGATGGGAAAAAATTGAATGTCAAGATTTGATGCATGTATCATGTTTCCCGATACAATCTTCCAAATTTAAAATGATGTATTTACGAGCTTTGGTTGCGAAAAGTTGGCTGTTATATCACAGTGAAAAAACGTTGAAATTTCACAATTGAAACAGAATTCGAAATGTGAGAGGCTTAGTCATTAAGACCAATCTATATTTTTCGATTTCCGGAAGCTTTTTCTCCCAATTTTCTACTCTATCGAGGCACCAAATTTTGATTAAACTTGAAAATTTAAATCATTAAGCGAGAGGACTTAGATGGGTGCACCTTTCCTCACCTGTTATTTTAATTATTTTTGGGTGTTTAAATATATTTACTGCCTCATTTCTCACGTTAATTGATCTAATTTTTCGGGGAATCATCATAATTATACCACGTATCCTCTACATCCGATTTCGGCTTTTAGTTGATGCATTATGGTCGAGTAGCTGGGTCTTTTATAGAGTTATTATTCTGCAATTTTTTTGATATTTCATGACTAGCCCTTTCCAGTGTAATTACTCTGGTCAAAAAGAGCTTTGAATATCGTGGACATAAACATTAACAGAAATCAATAAGTAAGATCTTAAAATTTGGACTTCCTAACGCAAATATTTTGCGGTATGTTAGACCTGTTAAGTAAAATGTGAACAAGTGAACTAGAAGTTTTTGATCCCATGACTTTATTCCCTATTTCCATTTGAATCTCTATCGATTGAATTAGCCCGAGCAATCATTATAAGTAGTCTTGGTTTGACACTAGCCGGGAAATTGTAAGAAATGAGTAAAACTTGTAATTAACATACGGATCTAATTGGAATGGTCGGTCAAGTTGCGACCCAAATCGGAATGTCCAGAATGGAGAGTAGCCTCATTCATATTGTATAACAGCAACCTCAATCCAAGAATGAGAGTGGAAAGAGAGTCAACTATTTGTTGCGAAATGTATGCGAGTGAAAATCGATAACCTACCGCTGCGTTTTGTAGTAGAATATCATGAGGTACTTGGTTTTGAACTCCAAAATTATTTTCCCTGAAACCGGCTTAAATTAACATTGGATGTGAAAGTTATTCAATCCTTGGGGACTTATATGAAGCTATATGCAAAAATTGGCGGCTGGGATATAAAGAAGGATCCTATATGCCTTCTTTGAGTCTCGTTTTTTGTTATAACCTTCTTTTTCTTTCCTTGCAGACTTGAGGCGGAGGCCGAGAAAGAGCGCAAAGCGAAACGTGAAGCCGATCGCCAAGCAGCTATCGAAGCAGCTCGAGAGAAAGCCATCGAGGAGGCTCGTTTGGCTGCTGAAGTTAGAATGGCCAGAGAAGCTGCTGAAGAACAAGCTCGCCTTGAAGCTGAACGCAAAGCCCAGGAACGAGCCGATAGAGATCGACAAGCTGTAAGTCCTCTAACTACTTAATCTCAGCTCCGTATACTTATTAGAAAACGGCCAGTCGATTAAGAGTCTAAATCTAAAACGACTCAAATTTTCACTTTAAACTGCTTTAAGAGCTTTACTAAATTCCAAACTTGGAAAACGAAAGTTTTGGAGGTCTAACAGTGTGTTGTAGTAACGGGAGGGAGGGGAGTGGGTGGGGTGGGGGGGGGGGGGGGNGGGGGGTGGATTAGGAGCGTTGCTTGTACATCCAAGTTGTGTTGCAAATTAAAGCCATATATTTTACGCTCATGGGTGTTATCTGTTTTTTATCCATTGTGAGCCATCATTTGTAGTACAACAACGTTCTATTAAGGAGAGGGGTGGCTTGAACGCTGTAATTCAGGATCTTAATAGCTTATTCGCTGTTATGCAAAAGCCAATTACGAATCGATATTTACTAACCTATCGCTGCGCATTGGAAGGAATTTCATTCACTTTTTTCCCAAGCGATCGAATTGATAGTTTGTGTAAAAATAATTTCAATTAAAATTTTGATCAGAAATAAGTAATACTGTGCAAAATTTTGGGAGTAATCCTTCAATATCCTTCCACAAATATTCATAAATTTTGATGTCCTATTAAAAGACTGAGCTTCGTCCCTTCAACCTCCTGCATGATCAGCATTCGGTAAAATTAATTCTAATTAAGTTCTTGTTTTGTTGCTAAATTGGTTTTGGGTGCTTTCCCCTATCTTCGTCGTGAGTTCTCTCGATTTTCCTCCTCCATGTTAGGTAAATTTTTCAGAAAATCCCTGTCTGCTCTCCCTTCCCCTACTACCAGATTTTGTAAAAACCCTAATCCCGTTTCCCGTGGTAATGGGCTCATTTGAGTGATGCTTTGTAGGTGTAGTCTCTTATTGATATGTCAAGTTCCCTTCTATTCTTCAAGAACCTAGGCTGGTCAAAAGCCGTGGCGGATTTGTCTGAAAGTGAGGTGGAAAAGGTATGTTTGTTCAGTTCTTTTTTTCCCATTTCAACCTAATGGATTTACTACTTTGTCGACTATCGGGCCTGGTCAGTTTAATGGCATATAATTTACTGTGGAATTCTTGCTTATTCTTTGACCTAATTCATGGTTTGTCGCTCAACTACAATTTTGCACAAAATGGCACTATTCTCTATAGTGGTAGTTTCGACGTTTTCTTTCTATGTTTGGAATGCTTCCTGATGATGCTTATCAAGGTTCGGTAGTTAAGAGAGGTTTCAAAAATCGGTCATTGCTGTTTGCAAAATAGTAGCTTTAATATTTGATTTTGATAATGGGCTCGGTTGTCCTTAGTCGTAATTTTTCGAAAGTATTGAATTTATACTCCCCCCCCCTCTCTCTCTCTCTCCCCAATACCCACAGTGTCAGTGGTAGCAGAAATCGGAAATAAAACACCTTTCACTAAACACTTAGGGCGTCGTTTTAATCAGACAAGAGGTTATACATCTTCATTTTCAGGGGCCCTTAAAACTAATTGAATTAAGAATATCACACGTGGAACTCGGAATTATTTCATACACCCACAGCAGGTGAGGCTACTTCAGTGCAGGCACAATAATGCTAAACAGTTATCGTTAACATTAATATCAACCCGCAATTCACCTGGCTCCCAGTCTTCCCCCCCCCCCCCCCCCCCCTACATTTTAGACAGTTAGTCATCTTGGGTTGTTATTTGGCCGCAAAATGGAACGTTTCTGTTTAAGTCATGTAGAGAATGCCACAAGGCATTTGATTTGGTGTATGCGGCTAAATGGTCGCGCTTAATGGCACCTACTCGAGAGAGAGAGAGAGAGGCTATGGTACAAGTGCGTATTTTGCTCTCGAGACAGTGATATAGATTACAAACTCTGAATGATTTGAGCTTTGAAGGAGCTGGAATGAAATTCCATTTCCCTTTTTTCCCTGAAATCCAATCGAGGTAGGTTGAAGTTTTAGTCACAATTTGAACTCGTACTTAATTTGCACTTTCTGTTTTCCCTGGTATCTTATTTTTCTATACCTTGATGGGTTCTAGCTTAGATGCTAGTCCATTGCCAACAAGGCAAACTCCATCACTGCAAGAGATAGGAAGCGGAAACAGAGTAGCAGAATTTGTACATTTGATGAAAACGGATGTGACTCTTCCATGAAAACATGGGTGTTGGATAACGAAGGAGTATGTTGATAAACGCTTCTAGGCTTAAATTTTTAAAGGGGTGAAGACTATTCAAAGGCCTGTGATAAGGGGAAAAGTAACCACCGTCACGAGTATTTATTTAATCTATTGTCAACTATCTGTCTGTTGCATCATATTTTTTCTGTTGAAAAAATTGTCTATCGATTGTTATATCATAAGATATGATTTGAATAGAAGATTTGCTGCTTCCAATTTGACTTGTAGTGAGGAAAGAGGAACGAATTCTGACGTGATGTTCATGTAGTCATTGATGCCGCTTTGCCATTACCACTTTATGACTTGTGCATAATGGAGTGCTATTTATTCAATTAGAGCTCAGCTATACCCAAATGTTGGTTTTCTAAAAGCAATGGTTTTATCTGGCTGTCTTTTTGTAATCCCTCGCCTGAGCAAACGGTTTGCATTCGTCTAAGGGTGGGAATATAGCACACGGATTTGACCAAGTTTAAAAATCTGGTATTATTGGCACTAGCATCCACGTATTCCCGATGCTGTCAGATTGGTATAACTTTGACATTTATTTATTTATTTCAAATGGTAGGCGTTTTGATAGCTATCATTAGCCCTTCAGTTGACTTCGGGCTTCACAGAGGGAAGGGTCATCAAAGTACACAAAGTCGAGGGGTGGGGAACAGAAGAGCGATTCACAGCGAAAGTCGAGGGGTGGGGAAGAGAAGAGTGATTCACAGATGATTCGGGCTTCACAGAGGGAAAGTTCATCAAAGTAGCAGAACTTCGGGCTTCACAGAGGGAAGGGTCATCAAAGTAGCAGAAAGTCGATGAAGGGGGCATAAGACCGATTCACAGATGTAAAAGAGGCAGACAGACACAAAGGTAGAGAAAAAGGCAAGATGAGTGTTGTTGAAGGGGTTGAAAATGACAAGCAGTCGGGCTATGGTAGTTTGAAGTCAGAAGTCAACTGCCGGTTAATAGACTTTTTTGCCGTATGAATATACGTTGCCCAGGGTGTACCACATGGAGGTAAGTCTATCGCACACCCCGTATAACTTTGGCATAACATTCCTCATTATATTTAATTCATGGTCATTTGTACCCTAATTAACTTTATTGATAAGAGGAATGAAGACGGTTGCAGTTGCACCAAAGTTTATTGATTTACGAGTTATGGGCCTTTAATTGTTCAAATATTTTTTAATGGTGTGGCAAGTTGCGTCAGACATTGCATGTACTGGCCTATTTTTTTCTGTTGTCCTGTGACATTCTTTGTTTATAAAAGGAGTGTGTATGCTGTTTATTTAGAGACACGGGTTATACACGGGACGGATCAAATGTTAAAGAACGCATATGATCGATAGTAACCGATACATATTAATGATTTGCTCTAGAGCAAGTTAAGTGACTTAATCAGTCGAAATAAATTAAACTACTTAAAGACGCCCGAATTCTCTGCAATGGAGTTTGAAGTCTCGTCAAGTAATTAAAACGAACAAACTACGTCATTGAGGGTGAAGTAAATGGTTTGAGATCTGATCGATTTATGATCATCGAGATTGAATAGTTCAAATAGAGAAAAAAACAAAGGAAATTGTGCTACTTTATCTCTCCTTATCCTTTTTTATTTGCAGTTGGAGGCCATGATGCGCGAGCGTTCAGAGCGAATTCGCAAATCGGAGGAGGAGAGGGAAATGAGACGAAAGCGCTTGGAGAGCATCATGTCTCGGGTGAATCGCAGTGATCGTTCACTCAGTCGGGGTGTTACCAACTCCGGTAGTACAAACAGTCTTACGAGTAGTGTGACAGGTGCCGCCAGCACCAATGGACTTGACGATGATGGCCCCAGGAGTGGTGCTACTGTCAACTTCTCTCTTGGTTCTCATAACGTAAGTTAGCTTTGTATTGATTTTATTAGATAAGCAAAAATGACTAACTAACGTGTGCATTGTCAATAGAAGATGAGCATAAAGGTGTATAGCTTTAGAATATACAGGTTTCATCTTACAGAGCAGAGTGAGTGAAACTGGAAGATTTCGTTCTGGAAAAGTAGAGCTATCGGATTGCCATTTTCATCACTCTCTGTCTCTACTGCCCTTGAGGTACCTGAGTTAAATAATGTTGAACTGCATAGGCTTAACGATTAAATGGTTGTACCATTGGAACTGACTTATCTGAATTCGGGACTTTAAGAGAAAAAAAACTATTTAAAAATTTCGAAAGTAAGTTAGTCATATTGAGAACTTCGTGTGATTGGTTAGCCTGCCTGGATTCATTGGCGTCTCGCATTTTGGGAGAATGGATGTGACCAGTAAAGAGTTGCTTAACACAATTATTTTTTATTGTTATTTACTCAATTTTGGACGATTGAGGAGTTTTATTTTTCATTTCTAGATTATCGTTTTCATAATTGCATCGAATCTTTTCTCCTCCCACTCCCCCTTGCCTATGCCAACACGATACCAAATTAAATTTTTGCGTAAATGTGCTTTAAAAGGCTTATTTTTATCTAATCCAATTGTTGCGCACTGGTGGTAAATTTATGATTCTGTGCACACCACTTTTATTGTTATTAACCCTGCGGATTTAGTGGATAAAAAAGGAGACAAAGGATGAACTTTCGAATCAAAATGGTATTCTTAACTTATTTTTCTGATTTTGACTGGTGGATAGTTATTGGAAAAGGAAAGTCTACATTTAAGCTCTTGTGTTTTTTTTATTATCCACGACATTCCAACTTATCTCCCCTTGATCGTTAGAGGAATGGAAAAGGTTTATTTATTTCAAATGTCAGGCGTTATGATAGCTATCATTAGCCCTTTAGCTGACTTCGGGCTTCACAGAAGGAAGGTTCATCGAAGTAGCAGAAAGTCGAGGGGTGGGGATCAGAAGAGCGATTCTCAGACGCATAAAAGACAGACAGACACAAAGGTAGAGAAAAAGGTAAGGTGAGTACTGTGGAAGGGGTCGAATATGACAACCAGGGGGGTCGTGGAAATTTGAAGTGAGAAGTCAACTGCCGGTTAATGGACTTTTTTTTGCCGTATGAGTATATGTTGCCCAGTGTGCACCGCGTGGAGGTAAGTCTATCGCAC